TCAGAGCAGTCCTGTCACAGCAAGTCCCCAAGTGTCAACAAGAAGAATCCAAACAGCCCGGCAGATTGTGGGCCTCCACGTTCTAGGGCCACCTAGCATACCCTGATAAACAAGGAACATGAAAGAGCTGTGGCTCCCAAGCAAGCCAGGTAGGAACAGTGACTCAGATGCAGTACGGAGCAGACATTTGAGGCCACGCCCCATACGGATACCAGAACCCTGAGTTCCTTGTCGAATCTTTCTCAGTACCATATTCCAGTTCTTTCTGAAACCTGCACTTCAAGTGAGCCCCAAAGTAGGGGATTAGGTAGAACTTGGAGGTGCTGCAGCAGGCACAGCTGGAACCCAGGGAGCTTCCACAGGAAACAGAAAGCAGCCACATACCCTCACCAGACTTCATTCTGACTCAGGAAGGGGACCCATAACAGAAACCCTGGACTTGGCAACTGGTAAGAGAAGCATAAAAGCTTTCTAAATTGGTCAGCTCCACTCCTGCCCTCAGCCCCCACACCCCACCTGCACATTGGCTGGGGTACTTCATTCCCAGGCTCATTTTGTCCCCTGGAGAAGGAATAGCAACACAAACACCAAAGGGGACAAGTGGGTCTCAATGACTCAATAGAAAAAACCCAACCTAACTCAGGGCATCTGGTAGGGCAAAGAAACATCATTTTTAATTCCCATCTCACTCCTGACCATGGAGCCCACAGGTCTGCAGACAGCTTTACAAGATCCAGTGAGTCTATTCCTCAGCTTGCTCAGACCCTCTCAACACTGTATGTCTACCTCCCAGGGAGGCCACAAGCACACAGAATCATGCGTCTAGAATGTACTTCTTATAGATCCTATCCTGTGACATATCCTATGCAAATAAGCATATTGGTGTTTATTTCATTTGCAAGCATGCCCCTTTGTTTGCTACCACACTCCGCATCTGCAAAGGCATAATGAAGGAAAAGGAGGAAGGAAAAGGAGAGAAACAGTCCATCTTTTTCAACACAGTGGCATAGGAGGTCTGGGTGCCTGGCTTATAACCTCAGGCTTTGCCCAGTGCCTCCTGACTAAACCGAGATCCAGGACAGAGGCTGCATTCTGCCCCAGGCCAGACAGGAGCTACCTGGGTGGATAATGGATACTGAGATGCTATGGAAGGTCAGAATCCAGCAAATTAGAGCATGATCCTCTCTACCCCAAATGCCATTGCAGTTACACTTATTTTTAAACTCTCTCCACTCCTGGCCTCGTAGCTTGTGCTGGAGAGACATACTGAACAGCTCAGCAGTGATGAGGACTGTGGTGCCTAGAAGGCTCTTGGCAATCTGCCACAGCAACTCAGGACAGAAGGTTCTGAGTTGTACATATCAGTAATCCCCTTTGAGACAAAAAGCCTCAATGTGGGCTCAAGTGGGCCCTGGCAGAGACACGGCAGTCCACTGCAACCCTGAGCGAAACCTAATTGCTCTCTGAGAAAGCATTGATTTCTCATTTCAGAAGAAACTATATTTAACAACACTTGGAGTAAAAGTGTGAGTGGGTGGGGAGAAACAGGGACTGCACGTCTGTTGAAACTCTACATGGGGTCTGTGCTGTGACCTATTTTACTCTGTCTCCCCCATCTGTCCCTCCCAGGGGAATGGCAGCTTCCAAGGGATGAGTTACTCTCAAAGAAATATTTTAATAACATGTTAAAGGACAGCCTATCAAACCCCTGAAACCATGTGATAATGCTGCCCACTTCCTCGGGGGAACTCTTGAAGTCAGCCCTCCCTTCTTCATTAGTGGCACCAACTTTTCCCCAACGACCTGAGTAAACCTCCATAGCAGGTAGCAGTCCTTGGAATCCATCTTTCTCAAAAGTGCTAAGAGACTGGACCAACTGCTGGAGAGCCTGCAAGGGACCCACCTAGGCCCTCTGCCTGTGGGTGACAGCTGTGTAGCTTGGTTTTTATGTGGGGCCTCTAGCAATGGGATCAGGACCTGTCTGTCCCCGGCTGGCTTTTTGAAACTATTCCTCATGCTGGAATGCCCCGCCCAGCCTTGATTCACGGGGAGGAGCTTGGACCTGCATCAACTTGATATGCCATGCTTTGTTGACTCCCATGAGAGGCCTGTCCCTTTCTGAACAGAGGAGGAGTAGATGTTGTGTGTGTGGGCAGGGAATGGGAAGAGAAGAAGAGGAAACTGTGGTTGGGATGTAAAATAAATGAAAAACTTTAATAATAAAAAAGAAAAAATGCTGGGAGATCACAATCAATGTGGGCTCCTCAGAGTGGACAGTCAGGGCTGACTGCCATCTTTCTGCTTCCTATCTGGCATCCCCATGTCACACTGGAATTCACTCACCAGATAGGATCTTTAAGATCAGTGTCTGAAAGAAACAAGGGACAGCTGTAAAAGTTTACTAAGAATAATGTTTTGAGGGTTTGTTTCTTTAATTGAGAAATGTATGCATTGTGTACATGTGTGTGAATATATATTTGTGTGTGTGTGTGTATATGTGTATATGTTTATCTGTATATCTGTCTATATGACTGAGTGTGTTTGTTTGTATATATGTATGTGTGTGTGCACATACTTGTCTATGTATCTATCTTTGTGTGTATATATGTGTATACTTGTCTGTGTATCTGTGTGTGTGAGAAAGAGTGTGTATGTGTACATTACTTGTTTGTGTGTATGTGTGTTCTTGTCTGTGTATCTGTATATGTATGTATATGTGTGCATACTTGCCTGCATATCTTTGTGTGTGAATATATGTATATGTGTGTGTGTGTGTGTGTGTGTGTGTGTGTGTGTGTGTGTGTGCGTGTGTGTGTTTGTGTCTAACTGGGACTCTCTAACTAGGAATTTCATTGGGGATGCTGGTCTCATGGTCTTCTATGAGCAACACAGACAGAAAACATTGTGGGGACCTGAGCTAGTATGGGCAAGACTTGGCTGCAGATCACTTCTCTGAACCCCAAAATGAGAACCACCTGCAGCTTTCACCCTGAAATCTCACCTTGCCCACAAAAGACAGGAGATAGATCTTAATTTGCAATGTCAAGGAAAGCCAAAGGGACATAGCTATTTAGTGCTGCCCAGAGTCTACCCCAATGTTTGGTCAAACTTCCATTCCTCAATCTCCCGCTGAAATTTCCTTTGTTTTTAAGCTCACAAAACTGGACCTCGTGTTCTGTGTACTAATTAGAAAAGAAAATTTCTCTCTCAGCACTGATTAACACAAACAGCTGAGCCTGCATTCCATGCTGCAGTACAGTTGTCATAATTTAGCAGCTCACAGCCCAGCACGTGGGAATAAACACTGGACTGGAATGACTGGCCTTCTGGACTTAGCTGGGACCCTGGTATCCTTCAAAGGCCATCCTTCCCTCAGATTCCTTGCCATCAGTCTTCTTAGGGTTTGCTTGATAACTGTCTTTACAACTGAAAATAAAGCCCAAATTGCTGGGGCTTATAGGGGGAGGTTAATTTTCAAAGTACACCTGGGCTGGAGATATCTGTGAGAGATTGGCCTCCCCAAGTCTGGACACCCAGGCCCTGGCACTACTAACAACTGGATAATAGGAAAATATGGTATCCCAACTCATGTCTTTTAAATAGAGGAAAAGGCATTTCTTAACACACAGTGCATTCGACTTACATCTTTTCACAAAACCATGAGACAACTAGAACCCATGAGCAACCTTCTCAGCTACAACAAAGGACCTTTGCAGGGCAGAAATTAGCTCTGTGTCTGTCTGGTCAGAAGCTCAACCTGAATGTTTTGGCATATCCCACAGACAGAGTAGAAACCAGCCTGTTTCTGGTTGTAGCATCACTGTGGGAGTGAACCACCCCAGATGCCTTTCTGCACACTGTTTTAAAGAGCATCCGTGGAAGGGAACTCTAATTTTGTCCCAGAAAATTATGCAGAATCAGACAATGGTTTCTCAAATCCAAACCTACCTGTGGGGGCCCATGTTTTTTTTTTTTTTTTTTTTTTTTTTTTTTTAACCACAGCCTTTCACACCTGGAACTTCCATGAAGAGAGTATATTAGAAAAACACTATTACCTTCAACAGTGCCTGGAGACCATCAAAACCATAGGGCTTCATGATCTTGGTCACCTTAACTGCTGGGGCAGAGTGACTGATCACTGATGAGGCACCACCTCAAAGCACTGCCCAAATATGTCTGGCCTAACAATGGTGCCAGAGATTCAAGTTCATGGAGTCAGCAAGCAGAGGCACAATGTGGTGTAGGGCAGATGCAAAGAGACCTGCCATCATCTCAGGGAGCAGAGATGCTAGGACAAGAGGATGACAACGTTTATTATGATAACAGACAACCCTGAATTGTCATCTTTTTCTAAGGGCATGACTCATAATATATATATATATATATATACTTTCGAAGGAGACAAAAAGAGAGTTCAAAGGACTTGGACTTCATTTTAAGATGATTTATAGTTAAAGTGGAAATCACCAGTCTGTGGTGGTGAGAGTCAGGAGTTCTTCTTTGAGTCTAGGACCCAAGTATAGAAAACACCCACACTGAATGTTTCAGTGTCAGAGCACCTCAGAAACTGGGAGAAAATGCATCTTTCCTTTGACCAAGAGCTAACCAACACTAACACCAATTTACTGGGTAAAGGCATTTGCTGCCTGATGACCTATGTGGGACCACTGGAACCCATATTATGATAGGAGAAAAACAATTCCTGTGTGCGTACACACACACACACACACACACACACACACACACACACACACACACACACACATTTTTAAAAAGTAGTAAAAGTTTTAAAATCAGTCCTGGACAGAAGACCATCAAGGATGCTCAAGCACACACCTAAAGTCCAGAGTAGAATTTGCATTTCAGCACTATCAACAGCTCCCTAGTATACCTGCTCCACAGCACCCTAGATACTGTACAGAGCTCCTAACTTCCAAAAGTGCAAACAAAGCAGAGCACATGTCTCGTGCAGGAGCATCTCCCACATGACAGGTACTCACACGAGGAAGGGCACCAGTTGCACCAGGGTCTCCCTCTTGGGGTTGGCAACAAATTCAGGCACCATCTGGATGACCTTGTTCATGACGCTGCGTAGGTAACTCTGGAGTTGCTTTCGCCGCTCCTCCACAAACTTGGCATCCTAGGAACACAGGTAGAATGTGGGCACTCAGTATGCTTGTGTCATAAGCTCAGAGGGGATCTTGTCCAACATGCAGCCATCAGGCAACAACTGTCAGAAGGGCTGGAGTACAGCTGAATGGTGGAGCACTTGCCTGGCATGTACAAGGCATTGGGTTCCATCCCTGCTGTGCACACTGGTCTCTGCGGCTTTACATGTGTTATAGGAAAGATGCCTGGGATGCTATCTTTATTAAGCATAGGAAAGGCAGGTCCAATACCTGTGTACAGTGCGCTCCCACAAACAAATGAGTAAAAGAATGAATGACTATGTGTGGTGATGACTTCTTGGTGCCACAATGTTCTAAGTGTGGCATCAGAGACCAAGGACAGAACAGTGAACATAATCATTGCAGTGGCTCTGACGGAGTTCACAGGCCACTGGAGGTGGTATAAATGAATCTAGTAACCACACAGGTATACATGGTTACTATTCACATCACTATCCTCTGGAGTACATGCTTAATTTGCCTTCACAGGTTTTCAAAATAAAAGTCTGTCACTGGTTAAAAAGGTTCTATGAACAAAAAAATTTACCATCTCTTCAAAATGTGGCTAAAGCTGTGTGGCACAGCCCAGAAGGCAGACACAGTGTCTGAGACAATCAGTCACATCACTGGGTGTATACTCAGAAGCTTAAAAGCTCCATACTCCTCACCCAGACTTAATCTATCCTGCATCTGTCTACTGCCCAGGCAGCAGCCTGCACCATTGTAGAGCCTGTGCTTACGCATGTGCAATGATCTGATGCCTCATCTTTACATTCTCCAGGTACTTCTTCTACTGGCACACCTCTGCCCATGACAAAGAAGTGTAAACTGTATGGGTGCCAGTGAAGGTTCCCTGTTTCTGGGCAAAAGATGAGTGGTGACTCAGTGCAGAGAGGAGAAAGCTGGGGGAGAGCAGGGACTCACGGCCTCACAAGTCTGGTAGATCACACAGCACTGAGGAAGCTGCTTCCTAGAGCAGAGTTCACCCTCCCCATTGAAGCACAGGTAAGAACTCTTCTCCATTCCTCCATCTCTCAAGGGCTTAGCCATTTTTTGTCCAGTATTAGATGATACTGAGACAAGCCTCCTAATGCCCTGCTCTCCAGCAGAGAACTCCCCATGGGCTGGGGTGAACATGAGTGGACACAGATGCCTAGTGACAGAAAAGTGACATTTTTAAAAGTCCTCCCACCTAGGAAAGCGGGTCCAGCAGTACTGGACATGCGTAACTACAGATATTACTGTAGTTTTTCTGAGACTACATTTTTATGGAGCCTTGTGTGTTTTCTAGCAAGTCTCCTTCAGGAACTGTGTGGGAGGAAGAACCAGTCTGCCAGCAGGGCTTCCCCTGGCCACTACAAAGGTAGCAAGGCTTTCTTGTCCAAAACCATGCCATGAGTTGCCCCAGTGCAACTCCAGTGCCTTGGGCTGGTTGGTCACAACCAGCACTGCCTCAGACCAGTGGCAGAAACCTCCACAGGTTTGCAGGATCAAGGCAGGAAAGGATCTTCCAGCCCAAGCCAGAGCCAGTCGGCCTATGCTCACTGGGTCTTGATGCTAGATTCTGCTCCACACTTAACACATCATTAAGTGATTAGATATTCATTCCCAGGGGTGGGGGGCTTGATGGACAGGTAGACCTACTGAGGCCTGTGTTTTAATTTGTACAAGAAAACTCTAAGGTCAGCTTGACAGTGTCTATAACAAGAAATATGAGAACAGTGCTGTGGACCCTGGAGGGGCTGTGGGCAGTTCTGGGCCTGGACAGGGGTACTCAGCACTACAGCTACAGGTCAGAAGATTGTCCTTTGTGGTACATGGGTAGCTATGCTGAGCCACAGCCTAAGGAAGGCAAGTACCCAAGTAGAAGCCAGAGGAACCCATCCCCAGCAGTCTAGCATGCCCATGTGTCACCTGAATAATGTCTCCTTTCACTCAGGTCCTACAGGCAGCAGTGACTTGGCAGATGAGGGTCTTACCTGGAAGAACCCCAATTCTTTCCTAGCATCCATTCATATTGAGAGCCAGTATCTGGGAACTATCTTGATTAAAGAAAAGCTAACTGAGCAGCAACCATTGTATAACTGCTTGAATGTATGTGTGTGTGTGTGTGCATGTGTCCATATAATACACACACACACACACACACACACACACACACACACACATATATATGCATGCACCATCATGCCCAGTTTGTTTGTTTGTATGCATGCACCATCATGCCCAGTTTGTTTGTTTGTTGCTGTTCTTAGGAAGTGAGCTAAGGCTAAGGTTTTTTTTTGTTTTGTTTTTGTTTTGTTTTGTTTTCCTTTTGCTTGGCATTTTAATGTTTTAATTGAACTCAGACCTCAAGCTTGGACAATAAGCACTTTCCAGAATACACTAACTCCCCAGTGAGCAAGAGCACTCCTCAAGTCTTCCCTGTGTCCCATAGTCCCCATGAGGTGCATTCTTATGACACAGCCAAGGATGGTGATAGATCTGAATGGGAAGTACCAGCCCAGGGCCCTTGACTAAACCGCAGTTGAGCAGAGACACTGGACTTCAAGGAGCAATTGTAGACCCTCAACTCAATAATACCTCCAACCTCCTGGCCATCTCTCCCTGGCATTCAGTTCACAGAAATCCCACTTCCTCCCTGGCTTTAGCAGAAGCCATGATGTATGCACATAGGGATGCCCATAACCTCAGTACCAAGGCAGGCTGCTTAGCTTGGACCTTGAGCCCTGAACTGCTGCCAACAGCTTTTTTCTGTCTTCAGCTGACTCTCCATGTGCCCTGTGGACATGGATGGGCACAGGAGAGACTGCTCACTGGCAACGTTCAAAGGCCGTGTGGTCCTTTCTGTAAACAGTGGTGGTTTTACTTTATTATGAAAAAAAAAAAAAAGTCAAGTTCTCAGTAACTCTTCATCTAATGAAACCTGAACCATTTCCCACAGTTGCTTCATATTTTGGCCTTTTCACCAGATGGTGTGTAATGCTTCAGGTTAAAGCCAGGGCCTTATGCATGCAAGGAAAGTGCTCTACCTCTGAGATGCACCTCTGGCCCACACAAGTGTAGCTGTAGCTGGGTGTGGTGGTACACTTCTATAATCCTATCACTTGAGAGGTGGAAGCAAAAGGATCAGGAGTTCAAGGCTAGCCACATGTACACAGCAAGTTTGAGGAATACCTGTGTTACATGAAACTCTATGTCAAAAACAGGACAATAAAGTAAATAACAAACTAGTATAGCCACTCAATACTTCATTCTTAAATACTTACTATATAATTCTAGAAGATTAGGACATGTCCTATTTAACCGAACACTATTACTACCTCCAACAAAGAGGCTATTCACATTTGGTATTTTCGAATATTGTGTCTGTAATGCTGAAACCCATATTTCCAAAAGAGCCTGGTGTTTCTGGGGCTTTCTTGTCTTCTGATTTTGGTTTGAGACAGGTTCACATTTGCATCCCAGCCAGTCCTTAAACTTGTGATCATCTATCAAGGTTACAGATGTGTACCAGCATGCCTGGCTGCTCTTTTATTGTGAATCAAGGTGTCAAGGTCAGATGTCAGCCAGGGCTGTCCAGCAGCCTGAAGGGGGCAGGGTAGACAGGGGGTGTCAGACCTTCTCATAAAGAAGTCAGTACCCGCCATTTTTACCACAAGTGTTGACCCACAGGCATGTTTTACATGGACTGAGCAGTGTTTGCAGATTCCTGGCTTCCCTTTCAAAACCAGCAGCCCCTAACTTGTCTTCACACCTGCTGGCCACTCACCAACCTGCCTTCGTTGGTGTTTCTCCTCCATCCCACTGCATGACTCACACAGACAGAGCCTCATCTGCCTAGTTCACCCTTCATCACAAGATCCTCACACAGTGCCCAAGGATAAGAGCCTTAAAAAAAAAAAAAAATACTGGTTGAAATAACAAAAAAATGTAGGAAATACACCAGGAAGACAAGACTGGTGGCCAGAAAGAGCTGCATGGAGGCCACAGTCTATGAGAGAACACACAGATCCCAAGAAAGGAGGTTGGGGAAGGCCAGGTTGGCCTAGAAACAAGTTCTTGATTCTAACGGCTGCTGGACAGGAGGGCAGAGGACAAAAGACCAGTGTGTCAGTGAGCTGGTTCTACAGAGCTTGTGTGTTATCCAGGGTACCTGGGGTGGTATCACAAGCACATAAAGCCAGCCCTTAAAGGCCCAAGAAACTGGTGAGTTCTGATTGGGACCTAGGGTGGCAGCCAACCTGCAGATTAGAAGTGATGGGGCTGGGTGTGAGTGTAGCACATAATGTGCCAGACACCTCTGGTGGTCACTTAATGAGCTGGTGTTGCCCATGGTGTCTTTGTCTGAATACCACTGTCAATTATGGGTAGAGTTGTTCACAGAGTAAGCAAGGGCACATAGAGCTGTTTTAATGGGAATATTTAAATTTCTTCAGAAGTCCATTAGGCACAGTTCTTAACGAGGGTGAATGTTGCAAGACAAGGCTTGGATACATGCTTGCAATCCCCCCAGTCCCACACATCTCAAGGTACTTCTGACATGGGTCTTCTCTACAGGGAAAGCTCAGCTCCACCCTCCAGCTCTGCCTTCCCCTAGGTCAGAAGTCGTTGCACTTCCCTTACTCCCTCATGCCCTTGCCAAGCTCAATAAGGCATCTTCTGAGAGTACCAGGAGGTCTAGCCTGCCAGGAGCAGCAGGGCCAATCCCTACTAAGACACAGCACCTTCAAAGTCTGGATGATCTCAAACAAGTCACTGGCTGGAGAATGTCAGAACCTTGAGAGAACTCCCCTGAGTTGGCCTCCTGTGCCCATTCAGGTGCCCACTATGGTGAACTCTGGCACTAGCTCACTTAGCCATCTCTGCCTCCTAAGCACAAAGGAAGCAAAGAGCTCCCAGCATGCCTTGCATTAAACCAAGCCACATGCAGGTTATAGCCAACACAAGGTGACAGGACTGAGGCCTCATG